ATGTATGTAGCAAATTGTTTTATGTTTGATACTATCGTCAAATATTCTACGTGTATATTTTAAAAATAAAATTAGAAGAGAACAGTACTTTTAAAAAGTACATTTGATGAAAATAAGTTGCATATAACTATTACATATGTACTATTCTGTTCTAATTTCATTTTGTTACATTTCACAAGTAATAGAAAACATACTTTCATATAAATTCATTGTTATATGTATGTAGCAAATTGTTTTATGTTCGATACTATCGTCAAATATACTACGTGTATAATTGTTTTAAAAATAAAATTAGAAGAGAACAGTACTTGTAAAAAGGTACATTTGTGATGAATATAAGTTGCATATAAGTATTACATATGTATTACATATTCTATTGTAATTTTATTTCTTTAGATTATAATCTAATTCTAATTATTCTAACAATAAGTTATAAAAACATACTTTCTTATAAACTTATTGTTATATGTATCAAATAAAAAGAAACATTTTGTCAATAATATCAATTGTGATATTGCATTTGTACTACTTATGTTAACTTTATATCTACATCAACAAGTAAAAAAATAAACTTTCTTCTAAACTGATTATTTTTACATATATAAATGTACATATGTATATGTATATATATATACTGCACATACGTATATTAGCTTTTATTGCACTTCATATAGTACTATATTCTATCAGTCTTGTATTAAATTAAAAATACTCTTTTAAAATTACCCAGATAGCAAGTTGCCGGCAGGTTGTTGTCAATTTGCTCGAATTATTTTGCTTAAGTTGTTTTCCATATTGAGAAAAGCGGCTTCCGATTTTGCCTATTAGATTGTCGATTGTTATTGCTACCGATAATTGTGAACAATGAGAGAGCAACTTAGAGCAACAGTTGCTGTCTTCAGAACCGTTTGTATAAAGTTATTGGAAATTACAGAGCAACATGACAAAAACAATTTGCGGTAACTAGTGTAGGCAACTATTGTCCGTATAATGCCTTTATGTTAATCTAAACGAAATTACTATTATCTCGATGATAGCAACATAATGACAACTGAATGAAAACTTGTGTCAAGCAACGATTTTCTTTCTTATGCCAAGGGACGCTTTGCTATCTGGGTATTTTTATTTATATATATGTATGTAACGTATATATGTATACTATTTTTATTGCACTATATGTTGTACTTTTTTCTAACAGCCTTCATATTTTTGCAATAGTCTAGTAGTCTTTTCAATAAGTTTTCTAATTGTTTTTTCCATTATATTATAAACGATATGTAGCATCAAACTAAATCAATATTATCTAAACAAACTAAACGTAATAAATGATATGCGTATCATTAAATAATAAACTTTATATAAACTATAACAAGTTTGACAACTATGTATATAATTATGTTTAAATTTTTATTCGCTTCATTTTAATACGTTTTTGATTGTGTATCCATGTTTTAATCACAGGCACGCTTCGATGTCCCAATGTATCAGAATGCTTTTTAATCAATTTTCCAATTTCATTGAATGTAGGTAATTTGTTGTCATTGGAATTTATATAATGACCAAAAGCATCTATAACGATACGTTTTTCATTTTGTGTCCATCGACTGCGACTAGATACTGGAAATATTAAAATATTTATTACATATATATACACATTATACATAATTTTCTAGATTTACATATAATATTTAATTGACATTTTATAAAATATATCAAGATTTATATTTACAGAGTATATGACGAAAAGTTTTGAATTAAAAATATACATGTAAATTAGGTCATCCAAAGCAAAAAGTTTTTTATTTTGTTTTGCAAACTATGCAAATTTCAGAGTTATTAATTAAAACATTCTTTATACATATATGGTTAAAACTTAAAATTTTTCGTGGCTTGCTAAATAATGGTAGATGACTTTTGTTCAGAATGATCAAATCTACATGTATACTTTTTACTCAAAACTTTTCGATATACACCTTAATATAAATAGAAATATATATACAGAATGGATTTTTTGACAGTTTAATCAATCCACTGGAATATTTCAGAACTCCTAAGTTTAAGACAAAAATGTTTCAAGTAAGAGTTATTTGATGTTGAAATCATCTGACGGTGATCTTTATTTGACTACATGAATCGAAGTCCTGAGGGTTATATTTCAAGGTACACTTTATTTTTTGAAATAAAATCACTATAATTTTATATAAATCGATTTCTTCTATTTTGCATAAAAAGTTATGAGTGGGATGACCATAAAGTGATTGATTAGTTTACAAGATATTTTGTATTTTATTGTGACATAATTTTTCATCAACTATGAAATATCTTGTAAAATATTTATTTTCCGATACTCTTTCCTCAATACTTTTATGCACAAAATAATAAGAGAAATTAATTGGTGCAAAGAAAACACTGTTGTTTTCAAGAAAAAATATATAGCTTCTAGTTACAAATAACATATTTTTAAAAAAACGACTATGTATTTTTTTACACCAATTGACTTCTATAAATAAAATATAAAATCATAACCTTTGTACATATATGTATATTATTATTGCAAAATAATATTTTACTTACTCTTTTTGTTTTGTTGAAAATTTTGTAAACGACGTTTCTGATCAACCACTTTTCTTAATATTTATCATGTTTTGATCATTTTGCATATTATCATCTAAATGATTAGTATCTGACAATATATCATTCGATGATGGTTCATCAACATCTTCATCTACATTTACATTAACAGAAATTTACATTATAATTAAGTTAACAGAATTTATAATTCTATCACCGGTATTCATGTACAATGTTTATGTAAAACGTTTTTTTTAATTTTATCTTTAGATACTGTTCGCGAACTCAGTAAAATACTAAAGAGAGAGAGCGCGGGAATACCGGCGCACGTGGTCGGGAAAAAGATGGTGGTTTTACGCGCGGCGACAATAGACGAGGCGGGGAAATAATCACTCGCGCTTCGTAACAGTCAATGGTCTTTTTATTCCGCACAATCACAAATGTACACAACTAATTCGTCACGATAGACAGAAAATTAATATACGAGATATAATACGATGACTTGAACGACTTATTATTTGATACGTTACTGAGAGCGATACAGAACACGTGTACACTGACTCAAGGATTACTCCAGAATGCTTCCTTCTTCCTCGTCACTACGGAAGTGACGGGACGACCGCGCTAATCAGATATCGATCTAAACGGAAATCAATATGATTGCTATCAATCGATGCTCTGAGCGACGCCGCGATCTCAGAGATGGCGCGTGCATGTCGGTTCGCACGCTCGGCAACACACTCGCACGAACAGATACTGTAAACGCTGTTTTATTATATACTACATATCATCTGAAAATAAACTTAAGACAGCCTTAATATAAAATCAAATTACGAATGTTCTCTTATATCAAAGAAACCAATATGATCTTAAGTTTTAAATTAGATTCATTCCTTAATCACTACTTGACTAAAATGTGATTTAAAAAATTAAATTTATTTGTGAAGGAATAAAGTACCTTGTTGAAAATCTCGAATGACTTTTCTAGATGCAATTTCTTTATTAATTGTATCATCGTGAGTTTCTGTAGTCTTCGCTGTATTTTCAACATCTGAAAGTTCAGAGTCAGAATCATCATTACTATCACTTTCATTTATATCGGCTCCTTGTGCGGCTTCCAGATATTGAGATATTTCTAAGATTTCTTTTTCAATAACAGGTTGTCTATAGTGAGATAAATGAATTTTATCGGCATGGCCCATAAAATTTGCAAGCGTTGAAACTTCATTTTCAGATAGATTATAATGAACACAAATTGTTGCTATATGCTTCCGTAATTCAGTCGCACGAATAGTTTCTGGATTTTCTGCGCCACTATCTACTGCATATTGCCGTAATAAATCACACGCTAAAAGATATCGGTGTTTATCTTTTTGAAGCGAAGGAAGACCAAATAGGTATGGATTCTTCGAAGAAACTTTTGCAGCCTTTCTATGCTTTAAAATCATTTCGATGCAGTCTCTTAATTCTTCTGTTAGTAAGACTGGTACCGTTCGTCCAAGTTTACCTCTGAGGGTAAATCGCACATATCTTTTAGCAATTTCTTTGGCACGTGCTGAAAGCGCTTTATACATGTCGTTTGTCTGATAATTAATACCTTGATACGCCTTATAATCCTCGATTAACGTCCTTTGTATCTCTCCGGCTCTACGACGATTAAACACTTGTACTGAAGTCAATGTAGATTTCGTAAGCGAAAGCCATGCATCATAGCAGAACTTTTCTTTCAAAAAATTATAAGCTGTTTCACGTTCTTGTTTTAGAAAATTATGAAGCTTAATAATATCTGCTTTACAGGGTAACGTAATCTTTTTACGTCTTAGATTTCTAGTCATTGTTTCTGATATTGTTTTTGATATACGTGTTGCAAAATCTTCGGTAAATACTTTCAAAAAGTCTTCAGCACGTAACTTCCTTTCCTTGTCTTCTTTTTCTAATACATCGATTGATTAAAAGTTTACCCACTTCTTTTAGTAAACCTCCAAGTCCAGAAGCCAGTGAAGGAGTTTTGAAAAATTTTCCACATAAAGATAAACCGGCTAACGTATTAATTGCTTCAATGCAAGTATTGCTGTATCGGGGGAAGTAAATGGAAGCAAAATCCGTAATATCAGAATTTTTACATTTTATTACTTGAAGCAGACGACCCATTCTTCTTAATTTTTGTCTAATCAATGTATCATTGTGTTCAGATGTTTTATATTTTTCGCACTGTTGATTACCAAATGCTATTATTAGTTCGTCGTAACGGATATTTCTTACTATATCATCTTCTCGTAAAAGTGGGAAAACTCGTAATCTTAGAGCATTGCTTGCCTCATTATGTATACGTCCTATTATTTGTCTTCCTAAAATTGATATTGATCTATTATCTTTAACTTTAATCATTTCTTTAATGCATCTTTGATAGTGATGTCTGCTTGTAACTTTTAGAATGAAAGCTTTACATTTGGACATACGACGTATTCAGAAGGTATCCTGTTGTATTCTTTCTTTGAACGTCTTTCTACTAATAATTCACCATCATTTCGTGCACAATCGGTATTAAAATAGAAATCTCCACGTCTACGTATCGTTTCTAAGATCTTTCTTCGTTCTGCATTCCCTTTTGGCATGTGTTTAAATTTTTGAACTTCTAATTCATTCGCATGTACTCTCTCAAGATGACGAGCTATTTTGCTCTGAAACGTATTGCAATACATACAGAAATGCTTCTTGTTTCCTGCACCAACTGATGTAACAAACATTTCAGTGTCATCCCGAGCACATTTCCCAGATACGTTTAGTGACATTGATATGTCTAATCCACTAGAAGTATTTGCCGAACTGTTAGTTTCTTTAGCAAAAGAATTTCTTGTCTGATTCATCACAGGTTGAACGAAACTTTCATTAGACGAAGTGTTTGATGGTACGTAAGATGGATCCTCATCGCTAACATTTTCAATGTTGTCTTCCATAGTATTATTATCAAGACACGCTAAAAGAAGAGAAAAATATGCATGTTAAATAACAAAAAAAATTATAGATTTTTTAATACGTAAGAAATTATACAGAATGCTTCGTTAAAAAAGATTCACACAAATATTTCAGAAACTTTGTTATTTTAAAAAGTAATTTAAGTAAAAGTTATTTGTGTTGAAAGAGTCATCTGATGGTAATATTTATTTGATTTTGCATCAAAATCCAAATGTTATTTCAAGATGAACTTAATTTTTAAATCACTGTAAATAATTTTATATCGATTCCTTCTAATATTTGGAATAAAAGTTGAAGGATAATGATGATAAAAAAGTGAATAATTTGAGATATGTTGTACTTTATATGACAATTTCACATAAACTATAAGTTCTCGTAAACTATTAACTTTTTGGTCATCTTACTCTCATAAATTTTTATACCTAATATTGCAAAAACTTAATTTATATAAAAAAATAATAGTGAAGTCCGTTTAAAAAAATTAAGTTGACCTTGAACTAAACTTCTGGATTTTGATCTAAAGTCAAATAAAGATCATCAAACGAGTTCCTTAACATCAAATAACTTTCACTCGATATTTTTTAAGATAAAGCAAATAAGTTTCTGATATATTTCTGTATATCTTTTAAAATGGGTTACTCAGTATGATTCATATAGTTAACGAGATGCTAGACGCCAGCAGTATAATTGCTTTTCTAATTTACTCTTTATTTATTATTGGTTAAACATACCATTAGAGGAGGTGAATAGTTTTCAATGTGAAAATATAAATGCAAATGAATGGAAGGCTATCTAATATTATAAAACTCAACAAGAGTTTTCATGTAACTTTGGGCAGTCTTCCATTCATTAGCGTTTGTATTTTAGTGTTAAAAAACCAGAGTAACTTTAAAAGCAGTTATTTCTGAGTTAGCATCCCTTTAAAGTTTCAAGATATTACTATAACCGTCCTCGTTTGATGACGTCAGAAACGAGAAATCGCATTCAAAAGTATTGCAGTATATATATCTAATAAATAAAAAATATATATAGAAATAAAAGGATATATCCATAAACATTTGCAATCGATTTAGCAATTGTGAAATGTTCTTATGAGTATCTTTTTTGCTGTGTTAGTCAATAAAAAATTGTAAAATTAATGTAACATCAAAATCATGCAAAAAGATCAAACATAACTTTCACCTGTTGTTATTTATTGATTCTTATAGCAAAAATTACATCTTACAGTAATGAAAGTTTTTGGAGCATTTTATAAATTCATTGAGTTGATCACATATCGTATTACGGATATACTTTTTATGTCAATGTATACAGTAAGAAGTTCCAGCATGTAATTTCTTGCTTCTGACGTCATCAAAAAATAAAGAAGCCTTAATTACCAATTAAATATATGTATACATAAGCATTTTAATTATATTAAAAGAAGATAATTTATAAATGAAATATACTTATATTAAAACAACAAAATTTGTTGAAAATATTGAATAAATATAACAAGATCGTATCTTCTTTAAAATTAAAACAGGTGCAGACAGATTCTAAGCAAAGTCTGTTATAAATTTTTGATGTCAAAATGGTAACTTTAACATAAGATCAGGTTCTATCTGACGATTTTGCAAAACTGTTGCCAAAAATCTGACATAGCCAGCTGACATTTTAAGTGCAAATCAAGCAAATAGTTATAAAAAATATATTTTTTTTCTAACCTTCATTGAGATTTCCATCGTCATCCTGAATGCCTATATCTGATATGTTTAATGATGTAGATGACATGTTATATTCTTTAGTAACATACTTTGTTGTCTCATCTACAGATTGAATAAAATTTTCTTCTGTGTTTGATACATAAGGTGGATTCTTATCATAAATATTTTTTGAAATGTCTTGTATAATATTATTATTATTGAGGTATGCTAAAAAGAGTAAAGAATAAGGATTAAATATCACAAAAATTATACATTTGATTTTAATATATTAAAAAATTGATATTAATATATAAAAAAATTATATTATTTACATCAATAATTAATAACACAAGTTGACAATTAAAATTTTTTTGGACTATCTCAAATAAGCAGGATATCTTAAAAGATTTTTGCACGATGAAATCAAATTCAAATTTGTCTATTAGACGTAACACTTTTGACTAAAATTCGTCGAAGGTTTCAATGATTTTGAGATAATTTATAACATTATAAATAATAACAAATAATTTTTAGCGCTCTGCTATGTTAAATAACAAATTTAAAAGATAGTAATCGGCGACACAGAGCAACCGCGGATGTCAGTGCGCGAAGACCGCGAAAATTTTGATTTTTCGCTGTCTTATACCTGTGCACAAGGCACGAAATTTCTTAGCAATATATCGAAGAATTATTTAGGAACAATCTCTTGGTTTTTGAGATCTTAATTCCTACGTTCTTTTTACCCCCCTAGAGAGATGTAGACGAAAAAAATATATCGGTCCGAAAAAGTCGCTGAATCGGGACATTATAAATAATACTTTTGCGTGTGGCATTGATAAAATTAAAAAAACTTCTCTTTTAACGAAATTAATAAATTCGGTTTCAGCGCGCAAATATCCTTCAGGTTTACTATATCCAGTACGAGATAGTACGAATAAAATAAAATTTGTTGGCTTGTGTAACCAAATACATAAAAATTTAAGTTATATTGAAAAAGATTTAATAAATCAGTTATTTTTTATATTTAAATTTAAATAACAGAATAAATTATACAAGATCGCATCTTGTATATTTTCTGCTTTTACATTATGTGTTATTGCAATTTAATATAAATAAGAAGTCAAGAACGATGGAAAATTACTTTGATAGATTGATGATCAGATGTATCATGTATTTTTCGTCCTCTGTTGAAATTGGTTTTCTTTGAGATATATAGCTTACTTAAACAACATAGAATTAAAGAGAAATTTAGAATTTGCAAAATATCTAAAATAATTATTTTATATAGTACACATCTGCATCGTGCATGGAATGTATAACAAAATATATTATATATGTTATATATGTTAAAACTTAAATCAAGTATAAAATTCTTAGGTGTACAATAAAAAAATATAAAGAGATAATTATATTTACCAAATATTTAGAGATGTATTTTACATACAAGTAATAATAGCTATTATAATTATATTTTAAATATAGAGTGAGTGAGCAGTTTTTTAAAACATAATGTGTATATTTGTACAAGAAAATTATAATTATTTTGAAACAATAACATACCTGTAGTGGAAACAGGTGCACTTATTTCAGAATGTTTAGAAATTTTATCTTCTACAATGGTGGGTTCAAATAAGTCGCAATCTTTATATACTTCCAATACATTGCCATGCCAGTTACATGAACATTTATCTAAAATTATATATATCATATACAATTCATATTAAAAGATAAAAGTAAAGATATAAATATACTGTTAATCTATAAGTAAAGAAATAAACATATTGTTATATAACAAAAGGATCCACTACAGCTAAGTATAACTTTTTACAAAAGAAAAACTATATAAAAAATTACGTAGAGAAACTAAAACAGAGTTTATTTTTACAAAGATCTAAATATCTAAATCAATCAAGTCCAATGCAAAATGGTATGGATGTTCTGACATTAACATTCACCAATAATCTTTAGATGTATTTTTTGAAATAGTACAGTCAATTAAGCGGTAGGAAACAGACCCATAGATATCTATTTCATTTTAAGAGCAGGCTGAATAACTCAGTGCAGTTTAAAAAATAATTTTGTTGTTATTACATACCTTCATCGAGATTTCTTACTTCATCCTGGATATCTATGTCTGATATATTTACTGACGTTGATATGTCAGATATATTTAATGACGTTACTATGTCTGATGTATTCAATATTGATAATAGACTAGAAATATTTGCTGAGCTATTAGTTTGTTTAGCAACAGAACTTGTTGTCTGATCTATCACAGGTTCAACAAAATTTTCACTACATGATTATTTGATGATACATAAGATGGATCCTCATTGTAAACATTTTTTTCAATTTTCTCTCCTATAGTATTACTATTAAAAATTCCTAAAAAAGGAAAAAAATGCACATAAAATATGACAAACATTATAGATTTTGACAAACATTATAGAATCTTATAGATTTTGTGCTAATAAGTCAAAAAAGTACGACATTTATTCGTGTAATTAAGTAATTAATTAAATACATTATTTCAATTAAATTAAGAATTAAAAATTTTATTTAAATACAGATAATTAGTAATCTAATTTGCATGCAGTTATAGAAATTAAATTTCTTTTGTAACCTTCATTGAGATTTCCATTGTTATCTTGGACATTTTTGTCTGGTACATTTATTGACATTGATATATGTAATCGATTAGAAGTATTTGTTGAATTATTAGTTTGTTTAGGAACAGAATTTGTTGCCTGATCTATCACAGGTTCAACAAAATTGTTATTTGATGAATTATTTGATGATTCATAAGATGGATCCTCATCGCAAACATTTTCACTACTGTCTTCCATAGTATTACTATCAAGACATGCTAAGAAAGAAAAAAATAGTTATGAATATAAATATGAAGATAGATATCTCACAAAACTATAAATTTGTTCTAATAAGTAAGAAAATATGACCACATTATTCGTATCATAAATTATTACAATAATTAAATATATTAGCATTTCAATTAAATTAAGAAATATTAAACATATATACATATATATATATAAACTAACTATGACATAACTATGACTAACTATGGCATAAGAAATATTAAGAAACGTCGTGAAAATAATAAAAGTTTATTGGATGTTTGGTCGATTATTGATATTCCTTATTTTATTGACTAGCAATTGCGAATATTTATAAAATATTAAGTTATTTAAATATGGCTGCTTTTGCGAGAGAATGATCATGATCAACTGCAGCGCAGGATTAAAATAAATCCAGATTAAATTGATCAATTGCAGCGCAGGATTATTTTAATCTGTATTTTAAATCTATCGCAAAAGCAGCCACGATGATTAACAATAATAATTGTAGTAATATAAAATAAACTATACAAATTATTTATTCAAATAAATTCCACCTTACCTTCTTGATTCTGGATTTGAAGCAAGTTTTGTTTTTTGTGCACATGGGGCAAAGTAACACGTTGTAATATAATTTAGGTACACACAGGTTAGTTAAAGAATGCTTAATATCATTAAGTACAGTAATATTTTCTGTAATAAACAATAGAATATTAAAATATTAATAAAAGTTTCAAATAATAATAAATTAATGATTGAGAGAGAGAAAGGGAGAGAGAGAGAGAGAGAGAGAGGAGAGAGAGAGAGAGAGAGAGAGGATACGACAAATCAAATAGTTTATTTGGCTATTTCTAATCTCTTTTATGATATATATAGGATACATATACTTACTATGTTGTGCTATGATCCGACAAGTATACTTGACATTTTTATATTTTGCCACACATTCATTTTTATTTTTTAACGTTTTCTGATTTACAAATATGATAGATCCCATCATTGAATAATACGAGAGCAAACATTGTGTATGTTTCTTAATACATAGTACGATACATGTGGCAATATCTATATATTCCTTTTCTCCTTTTTTATAAGCACCTATTTTTTATATTGTAATAAATGGTATTGAAAGTATTGCACATTGTTATAAAACATTTACTAATGTGATAAAGAAGTGTATGATGAAAAAAAGAATAAAAAAGAATGTAGATATTTCCGCGTGTACTATATTTATGTATTAAGAAACACACGCAATGCTTTTTCTATTTGTTTTATAACAATACTCAAAATAATTGTAAATTAATTACCACTTCAGATACAAAAATTTATTGAAATCGTTATCTAATTATTAGATTACCTTCATATAATTTTAAACAAACACTAAATGACCGTTACCACCGACGATGAGATCTCTTGTCTCTCGTCGGTGCCGTTACTAATTTGTTATTAAGGTCCGGTTTTCATAGACCGATCTCAGAACCTATGTGAACTTGGCATCCAATTTTAAGACTCGTATTCATAATCCGTTCTTATATTTAAGATCGTCTTAAGACATCGTTCAACCAATCAAGAGATGCTATGCGGCCATTTGATTGGTTGAACGAGGTCTTAAGACGATCTTAAATATAAGAACGGACTATGAATACGGGCCTAAGAAAATGTATTTTTTAGAAATGCATTCGATTAAGGATGTGTAGGAGATACAATCGGAGACAAAAGCACCAACACTATTCATCTTATAGAAAATCTGTACATGTTATAAGAAATTGCTATAGTTTAATTGCCTAAGTTTAGTTTTTAGCTGTTTCCAGCGTTGACATAACGAAATGCTCAGAAATCGGAGAAAAAGCCAGAATGTCAACAAATTATTATTATTTTGTTCTAAATAATTAGTAAATCCTATTAAATTTTGCAACATTATCCCTTAAAAATCCAATTATACATGTAAAAAATTTTGAAATACATGGTATCATTTTTTCCATATTTTTGACGTAATTTAATAGATCCTAATAATGATTTTTTATAAGATATGTAAAATTAGCAAAAATTTAAATTACAATAACTTTTAAATGAGTTAGTAAATTAAATTCAAATTTTAACAGTAGCTTTAGTATTAAAGTGGAAACGATTTATATATTTATTTATATTTTGATGAATTTTGTTCCATTTTTAAATGTCTCCTATACATCCTTATAAGCATTGTTTGCACTTGTTTGTACCGTCTTTGATTTCGTTTGTACCCGAAAAGATTGCAAGTTATAAGAGTTAAAAAAATCGTCAGCATCTCATTTTGAGATATGTAATTTTTTAATGCAGGTTGATTCAGCATTATTTGTGCCCGTTTGTATTGCGTTTCGTTTTTCTCACCCCATGGGGGTGAAAGTACCAAATTTTCTTCCATAACCATAGCATAAAATTAGCGTAGACCCTGCGGACAATAGGCAAAATATTAGAAATAAATATTAAATATTAGGAATAAGAATTATTTTTAATATTAGGAATAAGAATTATTTTAGAATAATAAAATCGAAAAGACGGATATAAAAATACAAATTCGGGTATAAAGGACTTTTATTAGCTTATATAGCTCTTTTACTAGTCCTTTATATTTGAATTTGTATTTTTATATCATTCTTTTCGATTTTTTACTCCACAATATTTCTTATTCTTAATATTTAATATTTATTCTTAATATTTTGTTTATTGTGCGCAGGGCTTAATCTAATTTATGCTATGGTCCTGGTAAAATACGTTGCATTAAAAAATTACTAAAATACGCGGACCGTATATTAAAGGGACACGAAATATACATGGTTCCGATAAAATACAATGCATTCGTATCGGTTTTATCTGGACTGTCCTGATAAACTACTGAACATGAAAAATATTATCAAGACCGTCCAGCTAAGAGCCGAAGGTCCCGCTAGAATACGTTTCAATCAAAAAATGGCCCAGCTAAACTACGTAACACAAACATATATATATATATATATATATATATATATATATATTGTAACGAAGCACCTTTCCCGACGCCACGGATCGGCTCGCCGGTGCCAGGATTCGGGAAGAGGGGAGACTCAGATTTACAATGACACACGGTTGCTCTGGTAAATGTAGAGTTTATTCGGGGCCACCTTCCTGTGGTTCTCCCGTGATTCAAACCATTATACACAGCACAGTATAATCGGACGAAACGCGACCAGATGATACGGACGCGTACACGACTTATTGCTAGGATTGACAGATAGAAATATTACGGACGAGACGCGACCAGATTATACGGACGCGGACACGACTTATTGCTAGGATTGACGGATAGAAATATTACGGACGAGACGCGACCAGATTATACGGACGCGGACACGACTTATTGCTAGGATTGACGGATAGAAATATTACGGACGAGACGCGACCAGATTATACGGACGCGGACACGACTTATTGCTAGAGTTTCCAACGCGGACACGCGTACGGGCGCCCTGAGAAGGGCGAGCTCCGTCGGGCGCCGGTGACTTTCAGGTAGGACCCGGTGACCGAGACGCTCGGCCTGCACGACGAGAACGCTCGTCGGCCGGGGTGTTTTACGGACAGGACCCGGTGACCAAGGACGCTCGGCCTGCACGACGAGAACGCTCGTCGGCCGTGGGTGATTTATGGACAGGACCCGGTGACCGAGAACGCTCGGCCTGCACGACGAGAACGCTCGTCGGCCGGGGTGATTTACGGACAGGACCCGGTGACCGAGAACGCTCGGCCTGCACGACAAGAACGCTCGTCGGCCGGGGTGATTTACGGACAGGACCCGGTGACCGAGGACGCTCGGCCTGCACGACGAGAACGCTCGTCGGCGGCCGGGGTGATTTGGAGTGTGGGAGTTGAGGAGTGATCCCTGAGTACGCTCGAGGGACCAGGACGGGACTGGTGCCGAAGTCTCGGCTGCGCCGCTCTTTATACCGTCGGCCACCCCACTCTAAGACTAGCTTGAGGGGGCCGAGTGACGGGTGGGGGCGAAAAGGCGGATTCCCAACGTGTTTGTGTGGTGGCCCGAAAGGGGCCGTTTACATGAGCGCGGGCGACTAGTGACGGCTAATCGGGTCGTCACAATATTATAACCGTATCGCGCGGACTTCGCAGCGAATATCAATTCGTCGCGTAAGGAGAAAAATCTCCTGCGGAATATCGGTTCCCTTCGGCGCGATCTCTCCGTCCGATCACAAAAAAATTTAACAACAAAAAAAAAAAAAAAAAAAAAAAAAAAAACTAAAATCTCGATTTAGTTGGGCGCCAGGTGCGGCAGCCGCACCGTCTCTCAATTAATAAATTCGCGGGAAGCTAAGTCTTGATTTACTCGGATTTATTGTCCCAGCCCTCTCGCGGGCGTCAATCACGGGAGAGAGAGAGATCGCGACGGCAACTTTCCCGCTCGGCTAGCCTCTGTACGGGTAAGGGTTCGGGTGCGTGGCGGCGAGAAATAACCCGAGGAATTAAAGTTAATAAAACATATATTTAAATTTTGTTCATAAGACACAAGAGTATATAATATACAGAAATAAGCGGCGTGCACAGACGCACGATTGAGAGTTTGGTGAGGCAATACGACCGGTGGTTCGCCGTGCCGAGTTATGAATAATATTTAACTAATTCGCGGCAACGAGGTAGTGTCTCCAATAACAACAAAAAATTGATGAATTAAATCGGCGATGCGCCACCGGGTATATTACTCCACGCCGCGGGCGCGTGATCCGCGCGGTATGCGCGACAACAAAGGGGCCGGCGTAAGGGCGCACCGCGGGCGCCGTACATAAATTCCATACAACATTAAACGTAATCACGCCTTTTCTTTTAAGACAACATCAATACTTAATGAGCCCGAAAGCGTTTATGAGCTCCCCGATTTTTCGCCTCGAACAATATTCGGCAACGCGTAAATCGCGGTAATTTTCGCGCGACAATGTTACGCGCGAAGACTGTCCACGCGAGAGGGAGAATGAGAATATGCGGAAACGCAAGAGAGTGGATGGGTCGTAGTTTCTCCAATAGAGTTTCGTTACGTTAATACCGCGACTCGACAATAAAACTATCTCTCGCAATTTATAACGGGCCGGCAACTAAACAAGGGACATCTCACAACTGTCGGAACCGATTGATTCTCCTTGCAATATGTTGTTAAATACACAATCTAAAAGACACGTATTTTTTTATACGTGCGCAATTTGAGTTTTAAGGGGTGAAACACCCCTTTAAAGAATAACGGTATTTTTCTTTAGGATCAAATATCTGCTAAACTATAAGAGATATAAAGAAAAAACGTACAACAAATTTTAATGGCTGAAGAGTACTTTAAAGTTATATGAACAAAAATTTTTTTTTTTTTTTTTTTTTTTTAAAAACCCTCACCACCTAATTTTTTTTTTCAAAATTAAAAATTTTGTTTTACCTAATTTAAAGCTTATTTTTTTCCAAATTCAACCATGTGTAATAAAGTTATGTTACGAAATATCATTTCGAAAATTAATTATAAACGCTCCCGTATATACGCTCATCCGTGCTATGTGCGTAAGTAATTACCGTCGAACAATAAAATATATAAAAATGTTTTTTGTA